TGCAAGGGAAAGCGGGCGTCAACAAAACAACCGGATCTGGATGACATCGTTTTACCTGAGGCTTCCTCACGAAAATAATGAAAATGAGGCTGCGGCCTAGGCGCGGCGGGGGGGTCGCGCACCAGGGGCCCCAACAATAATTATTCTTTAGAAGTAATAATCTTCAACAACAACAACCACAACAACAACAACAACAGCAGCAGCAGCAACAACAACAACCCACCTCCACTACCACCACTACTACAGAAACCCCCCACACCACCACTACCACCGCCACAACCACCACCAACACTATCACCACCACAACCCACCACAACCACAAACCCCCAAACCACCATACCACCGCCACCACCACCACCACCACAACCGCCACGACCAGAAACCACCCACCACCACCACCACCACCATCACCACCACCACAACCCACTACCACCACCACCACTACAAACCACCCCACCACCACCACCACCACAACCACCACCACAACAAAACACCACTACACCACCACCACCACCACCACCACCACAACCACCATGACCGCTACCACCACCACCACCACCAGAACCCACTTCGTGCCACAACTACTACCACCACCACACCCACCACGACAAACCACCACCACCACCACCACCACCGTCGCCACCACCACCACAACCCACCGCCACAACTACCACCACCGCCACCATCACTAGAAACCACCACACCACCACAGCCACCACCACCACCGCCACCACCGCATCAACCACCACAACAACCACCACACCACCACCACCACCACCTCCACCACCACCGCCACCACCAGCACCACCACCACCACCACAACCCACCACCACCACCACCACCACCACCATCTCAGAGAGGCCCCGAGAGACGCCCAAGAGGCGCCCAGGAGGCTTTACAAATGCCCCTCAGAAGCCCCCGAGAGCCCCTCGTCCTCGTCGACGCCTCCCGCCGCCGCCGGCAGCCGCCGCATGCGCCGGCGCGCCCGCCCAGAAAAGGAAGTCATCGTCTTCATCGACGCTCCCCGCCGCCGCCGCCAGCCGCCGCCGACGCCGGCGCCAACCCGAGGAGAGGAAAAGAGTAGGAGTAGGGGAGGAGCGAGGGAGGGGGCGGGAGGGGGGGGGGGGGGGAAACCCCCCCAATCCATCATGGAAGAAAGGGGGGGGGGAAGGGTGAGGTTTGAACCCCCCCTCCCTTCAATCCATGGGTGGGGGGGGGGGCAAGTCCAACCCCCCCCCCTTCCAAACGACCACAGAACGCGCTCTTTCCGTCCTCCGAATCGTGCCCCCGCTGCAGCGCTAGCCTCATTTCCGCGCTTCCGCTCGTTCCGAGTCGTGCTCCCGCTGCAGCGCTGGCGTCATTATTTCCAGCGCCATGCCACGGCAGGGTTCTCGGTCCTTCCAAATAGGCTCCAAAATCTAGAAAATGGCCCCCCGAAACAACCATCAGAAGTGATTACATTCGGTATCGATTCGTTGATTTTTGGGGCCGCAGAACCCCCCCCACTTTGAGGCGTCGCCACCCCATGCTATATCAGGCTACGCGTTGGTCTTCGACACCATGCTATGCCATGTAATGCTATGCCCTGCTACGACATCCGACTGTGCGAATAAAGAGGAGATCTACGCCATGGTAAGGGATGGGAGGGAGGGGTAAGACGCCAGATATGACGCGAGCTCACCTAGCTTGTCTTCCTCCCCCTCCCCTCCTCCCCGAAATCCCCGAAAACTTTAATCCGTAGTAAACGTTCAACTCCGATTCCGCCTCCGCCGCCGCTGCAGACAAGATTCCACGACGACATCCGACGCTACGGCGGCGACGACGGCATCCCACGTCCGACGACGGCGACGCCCTACGACGACGACGACGACGACGACGACGACGACGACGACGACGACGACGACAACGACGGCGGCGGCGGCGGCGGCGGCGACGACGACTTGCCACGTGCGACGGTCGACGGCGGCCGCGGCGGCAACGCCGCGGCGGCGCGGGCCTGTCGCAAGTCGTGCAGGTGCGACCACAGCCGCGGGAGCTCCGCGGCGGCGAGGCCGCCGAGCTCCCGGCACTCGAGCTCGGCGCGCAGGGCTGAGACCTCGGGAGGTGTGGCGTCCAGCGTCCCCCCGGGGCGGCACGCCCCTCCGAGGGCCCACGGAGGGTCTCCGGAGAGCCCTTGGAGGGGCCACGCACAGGCGAAATAGTTTGAAGGGGCCCCAGGACACACGAATAAATACACACAAGAAAAAAGATGCCCCATATTTTCTCATATTTCCTGGGTTTCTGTCTTCCCCCCCACTTCCCATATTTTCCCATATTTTCTGAGGGATCGAGGATTAGTTGTGTCTGTGTGTTTTTTCCTCTCCTGATAGTTACCACCCAGCGGTGTGGACTGAGGACGAGCGGGAGACCGCCAGCTGGCGTGCAGGAAAGGGGGTTGCATCCAGGAATTGTGGGTGCGACGAGAGTTGGGCGCGAGCTTGCGTGCAGGGAGCTCCGTGTTGAGCCCACCGTGGAAGAAGACACACACACACACACACACACTTCTCATTGCTGTTTCATTGCTTCAGGTGACGGTCGGTCGTTTCCCCGGGGGAGGGAGTAAACGGTAACGCGTGTGCGGGGTGGGGCATGTCGGGGCGGGGGGGCGCTGCGATCGCCATAATATGCGCGCGAGCACCCGCATGTCAGGGGGGGTCTATGCCCCCCCAATACGATCGGTACCGTTACCCGGGGAGGGGGGAGGGGGGGATTGGCCCTGGTAAGGACCGTTACTCGCCACAGGATACAAAAAAACGCGGTCTCTTGGGAGGCCTCGCTTCGCTGGCTTCCACGCGGTGAGGGCGACGTGTGCGAAGCAGGGAGCTGTGCACCACCACCGTGCCCAGCATGGGCCCTCCTGGGCCCTGGCAATGGGTGTATGCGCCGTTCTGGCCGCGGCCAGGGGGGACCATGCACCACCTGGAGGGTTTCGGAAATCCTGAACCAAAAATGTTGTCAACTCTTGGGAGGTCGACCTCTGCTTCCGCCGAGCTTCCGCCGCCTTCCCCTGGCGGAGCCGCCGCAGTTTCGCTTCCGCCGCCTTCTGCCAACCTTCCTCCGCCTTCCGCCGCCTTCCGCCGCGGAAGAGATGACAACACCTTTGATCCTAGAAGGCAAGGGCCTTTCCGGGACGCCTCATCTGAGGTCCTGGGGCCTAGGATGGCCTTGGCCAGGCACGGTGGTGGTGTATCCGCCACCGTGCCGTGGGCACGGAGTGGAGTATCATCATCGGCGGCGAGCAAGGCGGGGAAGTGAGAAGGAGCAGGCCTTCTCAGAAGGCGGCGGGACTTCTCAGAAGCCCTCTGGCCTTCTGAGAGGATTTTTGCGTCGTCGCGGAAGGCTTGGGAACTTCTCAGAAGGCCGGGGGACTTCCCAGACCTCTGACCCAGACCCCCGAAGTCATGTTTTTTCATGGTCTGGACCCACTGTCCAGGACCGGTTTTTCGTCCTGAGTCGTTTTTTGCCCGTTCCGAGTGCTGGTGAGGGCCCCGTCGTGATTTTTGCATGACTCGAGGGGGCCTGGGCGAAGGCCTCCTCCTTCCCACTTCCCCCCCCTCGCCCGCCGCCAACACCCAGTCCCGTGGAGTTCTCTGCACTGGGTCTTCTGAGCGCCCGTGGAAGGAGCCCAGAGCCCCCCAGTTGGCAGATGGCCCCAGGATCGCCGCGCGACCCGGGGGCGCCCCGCATGGCTCTGCAGAAGGCCAGGGATCCCCGAGACTGGCCCAGAGCCTCTCAGGACCCAGACCCCCTCCAGTCATGCAAAAATCACGACGGGAAGTTTCTCGCTATTCTTGGCCTCTGGGAGCCCTCACCGGACCTCGGGACCAACAGCTTGGGGTCTGGACCCTGGTCAGTTTGGAAAAGGGTGGGCATCAGCGGGAAGGGAATGGGGGGGGGGTCAACTCCCACGCGTGCACGCTTGACTGCCCGCTCATGTGAGCAGCACCGTGCGCAGCGTTCGGCCGAAAGGCAAGAGGCAGTCCCTGCACTGCAGCGGCGAGCACATAACTGTATAACATTTTAATGCGTGGGGATACCCATCAGTTTCACATCACACTCTGTGAAGTTTTGTTCGTTGCTCCGATGCCGTCGTAAAAAAAAGCCGGTCCCGGGGAATGGCTTCGGACCTCCGGGGATCGCGTCGTGAAAAAATCATGACGTCGGGGGTCTGGGGAGGGCCCTAGGACGGCCCAAGAGGCGCCGATGCGGCGCAAGGGCGCTCCGAGGCGGCGCAAGAGAGACGTCCCCAGAGGGCTCCGGCATGACCCCCTCAGAAGGCCCCAACAGACCAGAATCATGGCAGCTCCATCAGGTTTTCAATCATATTGGCGCTCTCGCGTTGGGCTTCAGAACGCCTGTGACGGCCCAAGAGACTCCAAAAGACTCCCGAAGATAGTCCAGGAGGACCCCGAGAGGGCCCCAAGACGGCCTCAGAGGGCTCCAAGACGGCCTACAAGAAGCCCCTGAGATGGCCCAAGAGTTTTGAAAACGAGCCACTTGAACTGCCCAATAAGGACCCCTTGCGAACCTTTTCCCCGAATATTGCCCCCAAGACACACAACGTACCCCCAAGAGGCCCCCCAGACACGCCCAAGAGGTCCCATCAGGCCCCCTAGAGGCCTCCAAGATGCCTCCAAAGAGGGCCCCTCCAATATGCCCCGAAGAGACTCCCAAGAGACCCTCAAGAGGCCTCCAAAAAGCTCCGGAGAGTGACCCCAAGAGACCGCAACACGCATCTAAGAGGCCTCTGCCTACAACCAAGGCACGGTGGCGGGATGGACCGAAGGCCACTGGACATCGTGAAGACGCCTTCTGCGGGCCTTGCCGCGACGACGCTGGCGTTGGCTTCTGACACCGCTTGGATCTTTCGACTTTGAAAAATCACGGCTTCCCGCTGGCGTAGGCCCTTCGGGGATCTACTGACCCGGGTCAGTGCACACCCAGGTCAGCCTGGCCTCGCA